ATTGGCAGTAAACACCTGCACGTCATCACCACAAGCACCTGCGTTGAGCCTGGGCATATGTTTACGATTAGAACGCACTGTGCCACACACATCTGTCTTGTTCACTCGCAAGAAATCACTGAGTAATGGGCTTGTGTACCAGTTATCGGTATATAATGTATGCCCCTTACCAAGATAAGGTGCCATCATGTTTCTCACTACGTCACCTGAGATACCCAATAACATCTTGGTATCTTTCAGTGTTTTACTTCCCGTGTATACAACAATATCCAACACCAGGCCACTGTCACAGTCACAGAGTACAAACAGTTTTATACCAAAGCGTTTCCTCTTGCTCGGTATATACTGCTTGAATGACAGTCTACCTTTGAACAAAATCAATGACTCATCAATTACAAGATTCTTGAATGGATAAAAGTATATGCTGAACTTTTGTTTGAGATACATAAAAACATTTCTGATCTTGTTTAACCTGTCACTTCTGTCAGGCCTGGTTTTGTCAGAGAAGTGCAACATACGTAACAGTAAGATAAACCTGTTCACTGGGATGATTTCACTGAAGACCGGGGTAGAAATTAGCCGATCTGTGGACCAGTATGCTTTTATATTATGCTTATAGACATGAGGCATAAGCATTATTGTTGCAAAAAGCAAATACATTTCTGCAACAGTCGTCTCTTTCCACCGGTGTAGTCTTGACTGTGGTGATATGCTCGTATTTGCCATGGTGTACTCAAAATACTTATTACTTTCCCTGACAATAGTTTCCATCAATGGCTGCTCAAAGAATAATTCAAAGAATTCCAGTTCATTGGCCATGGTTCCAAGGGGACAAGTAGGTAGAATTCCACTTTGAGTCATCAAAGTGGTGGGGCTTGGGAACAAAATTGGGATTTTGCTGCCAATCCCAGATACGGTTTGCTGGTAGATACTGGACATCATAGGCTGGTTGTGCGGGTGGTTGTGGTGGGCTGGTGGCTGACGCTCCGCTTTGTCCTTGAACTGAGGAGTCAGCAGCGTAGGTCCCAGCCTGGGCTGGTGAGTCACGCATGGCGGTGCCACTACCATCACCACTACCACCATCTGCTGATGCCTGTGGTCTATCCATGCCAAGTGTAGCCACATCATCCTCACTATCACTATCTAAACCTGGTGTAGGGCCACAGAATGTACTCCAGGATGTACTCCAGGATGTACTCCATCCCCTGGGCACAGCATAGGGTACACTACCTGAGCGCATTCGGCGGCGTACATACCGGCGCTTCACTGGTGAATATGATTCCTCACTATCACTACTCGAATGATCGTCAAGCGCAATAAAATCACAATCCACGTCACTATCATCATCATTACTGAAGTCAGAGGCCTGGCTACGCGAAAATATTAGTTTTCTCTTGCGTTGAGGTACAACTGACCATGACTGACGAGTGCCCACACCAGAGGTAGAAGGTTGAGGATCGTCAGGGTTTTCTGCACTACAGTGGACCCCCGGTTAACGATTTTAATCCGTGCAAGAGGGCTCATCGTTATGCGAAATAATCGTTATGCGAATGAATTTTCCCCATAAGAAATACATGGAAGAACAATTAATCCGTGCAAGACGCCCAAAAGTATGAAAAAAATGTGTTACCACATGCATGAAGATTTTTTTTAATACACACAACACGAACAGGCTGCACAATTACATGACCTTTACTAAATTTAAGTTGAGAATTTGCTGTCTGATGCATTGATGGATTACGGAGACGTGAAGTAGCATTATCTTCTTAGATGTTTTAGAAAAGGGGAATTCTACCCTTCCATTAGTGACTGAGGTAAGAATTCCTTTTCTGGGGTTACTTCCCTTTTCTTATTGTTAATGCCTTTAGGAAACAAGCTTGAGAAAATCACGGACCTCCTGAAGCACAACAAATTCTGTTCATAGGCTCGTACCTCCTCTCCTACCTCAAAAGACTTTCCTAAAATGGGCCATAAAACATGTCCATGAAATTAGTCACAAGCAACGGTTTGGCAACATGTGTGTCAGGGTGATTGTTCATATATAAAGGTTTGCAGTTCAACCCACTCTGCACACATTTCCTTAATCTTTGAAGTAGGCACAATGGATTTCCCCAACTGGCATAGGCTTCTCAGGTTAGCCCCAAACCCTTCAAAATCTTTCTTTAAATTTTCCCTACTAATTCCACCCTTTTTACCACAGGGTTGGCACTAGAAGCTTTCTTGGGGCCCATTGGTCACTTATTTTCCCCGAAACGCACGAAAACACTGTAATAATACGAAATATTCCGAGTGTATGCTTGGATGTTACGCGGAGGCTGGCTTTGGGAAACAATGGGACGGCCGGCACATGTTTAGGGACATTGGACGCGTCTCGGACGAAAATCGGTAAGCGGGTTTTTAATCGGTATGGCGGCAAAAATTTTGCGATAAAAGTAATCGTTATTTCGGAAAAATCGCTATGTGATGCCATCGTTATGCGGGGGTCCACTGTATTATCGATATCCCCGGTTATTCCTTTCGGTCGTAAACTGATCAAAAACCAAAGAATTCGTCTTCATTTCCCCCTTCCCTCAGTGTCAGAAACTATCAGATAAGGGAAAAGGAGAGTCCCAATTTTCCGTGGAGTGAGGCTGACTTGCGACGAGGCATTGGTGAACAAGGGTTTAAATGAGCCGGCGTTCCCACAATGCTATGCGGGGCGCCTAGATTTTTTGTTTATGGGGGCACACCACCACGCAGACCCGTTCTCTCACATGTAGGCCTATGAGCGCTTTCGCGCTAAATTTGACAGCGCTAGAATTTTGGCGTAGATCTACGGTTTGGACACTCAACGTGAAGCCGTAAAATCTTTCGGGATGGACCCTGTAAGGGTTAAGGCAAGTAAGGGCTGGTTTGATAGATTTAGAAAGAGCAGTGGAATTCATAATGTAATAAGGCATGGGAAGGCTGCCAGTGCTAACAGAGATGATGCTGAAAAGTTTGTTAAGGAATTTTAAACCTGTCTAGATATTGAGGGATTTATTCCTTAATGAGTTTTTAATTGTGATGAAGTTGGGCTCTTTTAGAAAGAGAATGCCTAAGAAGAAAAATCATTGCCAGGACACAAGCCCATGAAAGACAGGCTAACACACTTATTGTGTGGTAATGCTAGTAAGGAATGCAGAATTACACCATTGCTCGTCTACCACTCTGAAAAATGCAAGGGTGTTTATGAAAAACAATGTGATAAAAAGTAAACTCAGTGTAATTTGGAGGGCTAATATTAAAGCTTGGGTAACAGGGCAGTGGATCCATGAAGTGATCCATGAAGTGGATCCATGAAGTGGATACATGAAGTGTTTGACCCAAGTGTGAAGCAGTACCTTGCAGAAAAAAACTTACCATTAACCCTTTCACTGTCCAGATCGCTGATCTGAAAATTGTCTAAAGTTTACCTGGAGAGAGTTCCGGGGGTCAACGCCCCCGCGGCCCGGTCTGTGACCAGGCCTCCTTAGGTCAGTGTCCCAGGATGCGACCCACACCAGTCGACTAACACCCAGGTACCCATTTTACTGATGGGGAACATAGACAACAGGTTGAAAGAAACACGTCCAATGTTTCTACTCTGGCTGGGAATCGAACCCAGGCCCCTCACCGTGTGAAGCGAGAGCGTTAACCACCAGGCCACCAGAGCCCAAAGATTTAAAAAAAAAAAAACAATTTTTTGTCAATTTTTTATGAAATGGTAGAGAATTTTTTTCTGAAGATAATATAACAAAAAGTATGAAATTTGATGGAAAAGTGCTGAAATTATGCTTTCATGAATTTTGCTGCATCAGCAATATTTATGCATTGGCGATTTTCCCCACTTTGAGTTATATTTTGGGTCAATTACATTGTTCCAGTTGACCAAATACTTAACTGTTTTGCTAGTATGTCTTTCAGTTTATTGATTAAGAACAAAAAACTGCCCAGTCAACCATTTCAACTATCCAATGGAGTGATCAGAATTTGGTAATTTGGCCAATTTCAAACAAAATTTCAAATATTCCAATTTCAAAATACTGAGGAATATAGAGATAGTATGATAATTTATGTAACATGTCAAGATATCTTATTAATGAAAATAAGATATCAGATAAATTAAGCAATTTTCCTAAATTTGCTTGTAACAGATTTAGATTTAGATATGTGAACTGTAGATATAAATCAAAATGGACTCCTGTTAACCCTTTTGGGGCTAATCTGTAAGCATTAAAATTAGTCTGCCCAAAATGCCCTAGCATGTTAGTGGCATTCTTTTTACCTAACAACATGTATAAAATGTAAACACACATTTTAACCTTTGCGTGAATGCATATGGATACACAAATGGCCTAGTTCCTAGGCCATTTGTGTATCCATATGCATTCATGCTACTGTCCACAGGCTGAATATGGGGTGCACAATAAACTAGCCACTGTGGTGGCAAAATCTATTCTCAGCCACATGCACTTCACGGATATCTCATGGACAAATTTCTAGCACTGCTCTGTGAGGATTGCCAGGTAGCATTGTCAGATCACCATATTTTAATTGATTGTCCTGTCTGTAAGTGGGAATGGAGAATTCACTTCCAATATCTCCACTGCCCCAAATTACTTTGTGACGATTGAAAAGTTGCATTGCCATTTCACATATCTTGATAGACTGTCATGTCTATCAGCAGGCACACAGAATGTACTTTTGACATCTCTTCCACTTCAACACACTTTAACTGACCTTCCTGAAAGGTCCACCTTTGAGTCAGACACAGGTGGGACTCCCTCATCTCCCTCTCCTCCCTTCCTCATCATCAAAATTGTTTGAAAGTATTTCAGTCAACTTACATAATATCTCAAATGTATTCCTGAATAAATTCTTAATATACCATAAGATGTAGCTCTTCTTGAAGGAAAAGTTTATAGTTCTAACAATGCTTGTATTTCACATTAGTGTAAGTTTTTTTAACTATCCTAACTGTTCATTCTTTTCTTCTGCAGCTCAGCTCATGCGTTTGAGGAAGAATTACACACTCAGTACCAATGCCTTCAATTAAAGGACACATTAATAGCAAAAATATTACATATGTATGAACAGTGTCAGCACTGATATAATGCCATCCTGACTACTACATGCATTAACCTGTGAATGTAACCTCATTCAGATAGTTCTATTCACTATTTTTCTAAATTATTTTATCTGATGAGCATTCAGTTCACTGTTATCTAAGGAACTGTGCATGTAAGTGATGTTTCTTTTATATGAACGCTTCAGTATTGGCTATAGACTGTGTGTACATGCATTCAAAGCATTAAACTTCTTTTTTTATGGTGGTATTTTTTGGAAAGGAAATTGGGCATTCAACTGTAATGAAGGAATCATATTTGCATCAAGAAATAAGCCATGAATTTGCTCCACCTCATTATTTATTTCTAGATAAAATTTGAATTTACATGCTGTGCATGTGTATGTGTGTGTGTGTGTGTGTGTGTGTGTGTGTGTGTGTGTGTGTGTGTGTGTGTGTGCATGCAGTCATTACATACAATGCCTGTGTTCATTGTCTCTAATATATATATATATGTATATATGTATATATATACAGTACATAATATAGTTATAACAGTATTTCCCTTGGTGATTTAATATTTATCAAAATATTTCAAGTTTAGCAGAAGAATATTCAGCCAAAAAAAGTGAGACCACTTTATTATTCAGTTGTAATTAATATGAACATGTGCCAGATTTTAAGCCTGTTGCAGTGGGGTATGCCCATTTCAGTGTTTTGAACATTTCTCACATTAAGTTATCTCGGAAACCTACAAATAAGAGCACATACTAAAAGTTTTTGTCAGTCATTAGTGTATCAAACACTTTATAAAACTATTTTCTTTTAAATAAGACCTTTTATGAAAGTTCATACATAGTGTTAGTATAAGCGGTACAATTGTTTTTTTATGATGGGTTTCTTACTATAACTCTTATGAAAATTAAAGTTTATATTAAATTCAAAATGCAGGAGAATTTTCATATAAGATCAAATTGTTTCTGTTACTAATGTCTTAGAACATTTGTAAGAGTTGTAAGCATCAAGAGCAAATAATTAAATGTATGTAGAAATATATTAGGATTCAGAAAAAATTCTAATTTACCTACCCTCATATGCAGTTTCTAATGTATCTACCAACTAACTAGTCAAACAGCCAACTGACCAACTAACCAAACCAACCAACCAACCAACCAACTTATTAATCAAACCAACAAATAAACCGAACCAAACCAAACCAGGCGCCCTTTCATCTACCTCCCTTCCTATCTACCTCTTTTCCCCTCCCATCTACTTATCAAAATACTGCCCTCCCATCTACTTACCAAAATACTGCCCTCCCATCTACCTACATATGTACCTAGGCTCTGTCAAAGAATCACATTAGTCTTCACTTCTAAAACAAACTGATATAGCAATACAAATGAGTGCCCATAGAGAACAGAAACCATATCAGTGTTTGGTATGTCGAAAAAGATTTTCACAAAAATATGTTCTAATACGACATGAAAAAATACATACAGGAGAGAAACCATATCAGTGTTTAGTATGTCTGAAAAGTTTTTTAGAAAAATCAAATCTTGTAACACATTCTAGAATCCACACAAAAGAAAAACTGTACGAGTGTTCAGAGTGTCTAAAAGACTTTACACAAAAATCTACACTAATTACACACATGAGAATTCATACAGGAGAGAAACCATATCAGTGTACAGTGTGTCTGAAGAACTTTTCTCAAAATCGCAATCTAATAACACATATGAGAATTCACACAGGAGAGAAACCATATCAGTGCTCAGTGTGTCTCAAAAGTTTTTCAGAAAAGGCAAAGCTAGTGGGACATGAAAAAATTCATACAGGAGAGAAACCATATCAGTGTTCAGTGTGTGTAAAAGACTTTTCTCAAAAAAAAGCTCTAGTAAAGCATGAAAGAATTCATACAGGTGAAAAATCTTACGAGTGTTCAGTGTGTCAAAGAAAATTTTTAGACAAAGCAAAATTAATAACGCATACAAGGATTCATACGGGGGAGAAACCATATCAGTGCTCAGAGTGTCTAAAAGATTTTTCACAAAAAGGTACCCTAATAAAACACGAGAAAATTCACACAGGAGAAAGACCATATAAATGTTCACTGTGCGTAAGAAAGTTTTCTGTCAAAGGAAGTTTAATACGACATTCACGAGTACATACGAAAGAGAAACCATATCATTGTTTAGTGTGCCAAAAAAATTTTTCTGAAAAAAGTTCTCTAGTAAAACATCAGAGAATTCATACAGGAGAAAAACCCTATCAATGTTTAGTGTGCCTAAAGAACTTTTCAGAAAAGTCTAATTTAGTTAAACATACTAGACTTCATACTAGAGAAAAGCTGTTTCAGTGTTCAGAATGTCTAAAAGACTTTTCACAAAAATTCACTTAATGATACACATGAGAACTCATAAAGGAAAGAATATGTGACACATTAATATTTCCATAACTGTTGCAAGATATAATACATGTTCAATGTATTATTTTAAAACATGTTCTAAAAATATGCTATGAAAACAGAGCCAAAACCTTTTATGTTGAAAAGTCATTTCACGATTGTTGTGTTAGCACAATTCACAGAGAACAAAATCCTAATCTTTATTCCTTAGACATTAACAATTAAATAAAACAATGGAGAGCCATAAAATCTTTTTTTTTTTTTTTACCAAATTTTGTATATTAAAAAAAAAAACAAAAAAAAAAAAGGATGTGATGGCCCTTGGGCCAACTGAATGGTTGCAATGGCTCCAGGGCCAACCTAATAGTTGTTATGGGCCCAAGGCCAAGCTAAGGGCCAATCTAATAGTTGCTACAGGCCCAAGGTCAAGTGAATGTTTGTGATATTAACTAAAAGTCTGTTTCTTCTAAGCTACCCTACTCTTCAGTATTATTTACTACAATTGTTAACATGGTATTTAAATACTTTACTATAGGGAGTAGTGTACTGTATCACTAAGTAGTGACAAATATATATTTTTTTTATTAACACATTGGCCAATTTCCACCATGGCAGGGTGACCCGAAAAAGAAGACACGCTTTCATCATCATTATTATTCACTCCATCACTGTCTTGCCAGAGGCTCACCTAGACTATAGTTAAAGAAATACATCAACACCCCTCCTTCAGAGTACAGGCACTGTACTTTCCACCTCCAGGACTCAAGTATGGCTTGCCAGTTTCCCTTAATCCCTTTATAAATGTTACTTGCTCACACTCCAACAACATGTCAAGTCATAAAAACCACTTGTCTCCACTCGCTCCTATCTAGCACTCTCACGCATGCTTGCTGGAACTCCAAGCTCCTCGCATGCAAAACCTCCTTTACCCCCTACCTCCAACCTTTCCTAGGAAGACCCCCTACCCTGCCTTCCTTCCACTACAGATTTATAAGCTCTCTTCATCATTATTTTTCTTTCCATTGTCTCTAAATGTTCAGACCACCTGAACAACCCCTCAACCCTCTGCATAATACTTTTAGTAACCTTGCACCTCCTCCTAATTTCCAAACTACGGATTTTCTGCATTGCATTCACACCACACATTGCCAATAGATATGATATATCCACTGCCTCTAACCTTCTCCTTGTTGTAAAATTAACCACCCATGCTTCATACCCATATAAGAGCGTTGGTATAACTATACTGTCATACATTTCCCTCTTTGCTTCCATGGCTAATGTTCTTTGTCTGCACAGACTCCTCAGTGCAACCCTCACCATTTTTTTCCTCATCACTTCTGTGATTGAAGTCATCTTTCCTAGACCCATCTGCCGACAAGTCAACTCCCAAATATCTGTTCGACATTTACCAATCTTTCATTACATAAATTTTTGTTATCCTCATCACTTACTCTTTCCAATGTTCACTTCTAATTTCCTTCTTTTACATCCCATACCAAACTTGTCCACCAACTTCTGGACCCCAATGGAAATAAGTCACTCTGACTTTTTTTGGGTTATCCTAGGTTCTCTACACATATGCTGCTCTGTATGATAATTTATGTAACTGTATTTGTGTATACCTGAATAAACTTACTTATTCTGTAGCTTCTCTTCAGAATCTCCCAAAAGCACAGTGTCATCAGCAAAAAAGCAACTGTGACAACTCCCACTTTGTGTTAGATTCTTTATCTTTTAATCCCACACCTTTTGCCAATTCCCTGCTGTTTAATCCTACGGGTTTAGCCCCCCGTGATTATTATAATAATAATAATAATGCCAATTCCCTTAGAGATCCCTATCTAAGGCCTTCTTAGACAATTAGCAAGCAAGAGCTCATTTAAAATTAACCCTTTCAGGGTCCAAGGCCAAAATCAGAAGGGTGCCCCAGTGTCCAAGATATTTTGAAAAAAAAAAAAAAAAAAAAATTTCTTACAGTATTAAATATAATATTTTTGTGAAGGTAATAAAACAAAGAAAAAAAATTCTGATCAGTACTTACCGAGATATAGCAGCGGGAAGTTGATCCAAAATGACCGGGTGGCGGCAACATCAGTGACTTCCGCAAAATCCCATTTTTTTATTTTACGTTTTTTATACTTATTTCTTTTCTTTTCTAATTTTTTCTTTTTCTAATAACATTTGTGGCCTGTTAGACCAATATAATGTATATTGTATAAGTGTACACTCATTGTATTCAACACAATAACTACACTAATTTGTTTATCGTTATATTGCTTTCAAAACTTGTTTACAAGTTTATTGTAAACAAAATGATGAAAATATTAGTGCTGTTATTGTGTTGAATACAATGGTACCATGTAGTACTATATGGTACAATGGTGCCATAGGGTGCAATGGTCCCATATAGTACAATTGTACATATGATGCAATGGTACCATATGGTAGAATATGGTACAATGGCACCATTTGGTACAATGGTACCATATGGTACAATGGTACCATATGGTACATTGTACCATACAGTACAATGATACCATATAGTTCATTGTACCATATGGTACTATATGGTACTGTTGTATTCAACACAATAAACACACTAATATTTTATCATTATTTTGTTTACAATAATTGTTTACAACAAAAATATGCAAAAATGTTGTATATTAGTAATGTTCTATTATATATTTACAAATGTACAGGAACTCCACATGTTCCTTGAGGTGGATGACAAAGCTCTTTGTCTCCGGGGAAACTGTGGAGTCAGTAGCTAGCTTGTGTCACCACTCAACCAAATCTTTCAGTGGGCTGCAGAAAACAATATGAAGTTCAACGATGAGAAATTTCAATTACTCAGATATGGTAAACATGAGGAAATTAAATCTTCATCAGAGTACAAAACAAATTCTGGCCATAAAATAGAGCGAAACACCAACGTCAAAGACCTGGGAGTGATTATGTCGGAGGATCTCACCTTCAAGGACCATAACATTGTATCAATCGCATCTGCTAGAAAAATGACAGGATGGATAATGAGAACCTTCAAAACTAGGGAGGCCAAGCCCATGATGACACTCTTCAGGTCACTTGTTCTATCTAGGCTGGAATATTGCTGCACTCTAACAGCACCTTTCAAGGCAGGTGAAATTGCCGACCTAGAAAATGTACAGAGAACTTTCACGGCGCGCATAACGGAGATAAAAAACCTCAATTACTGGGAGCGCTTGAGGTTTCTAAACCTGTATTCCCTGGAACGCAGGAGGGAGAGATACATGATTATATACACCTGGAAAATCCTAGAGGGACTAGTACCGAACTTGCACACGAAAATCACTCACTACGAAAGCAAAAGACTTGGCAGACGATGCACCATCCCCCAATGAAAAGCAGGGGTGTCACTAGCACGTTAAGAGACCATACAATGAGTGTCAGGGGCCCGAGACTGTTCAACTGCCTCCCAGCACACATAAGGGGGATTACCAACAGACCCCTGGCAGTCTTCAAGCTGGCACTGGACAAGCACCTAAAGTCGGTTCCTGATCAGCCGGGCTGTGGCTCGTACGTTGGTTTGCTTGCAGCCAGCAGCAACAGCCTGGTTGATCAGGCGCTGATCCACCAGGAGGCCTGGTCACAGACCGGGCCACGGGGGTGTTGACCCCCGAAACTCTCTCCAGGTAAACTCCAGGTAAAATCAGTCTTGGCTGGTGTCTCATGCCACCAACACCTATTGACCTTTTGGTACATGGTATCATATGTTACAGGTACCATATGGTACATTGTACTATATTGTATAGGGTACCATGCAGTACAGGACAACATATTGTGCAGGGTACCATATGGTACAGGGTACCATACAGTACAGGACACCATATGGTACATTGTACTGTATTGTATAGGGTACCATGCAGTACAGGATAAATGGTGCAGGGTACCATATGGTACAGGGTACCATATGGTACAGGGTACCATATGGTACAGGGTACCATACAGTACAGGACAACATATGGTACAGATACAGGGATAACTATGGAAATAAGTCACCCTGACTTTTTTGTGTTATCCTAGGACTTTATATGTATGCTGCTATGTATGATAATCTATGTATGTAATTGTATTTCTGTACACCTGAATAAACTTACTCAGGTGCAGGTGGCATCATAAGTAAGTTTATTTAGGTATACACAAATAAAGTTACATAGAATATCATACTTAGCAGCATATGTTTGGAGAACCTAGGATAACCCAAAAAAGTCAGACAGACTTATTTCCATTAGGGTCCCTGTGCCCTGTACCATATGGTATAATGTGCTATATGGTACAATGTACTATATGGTATATTGTATCATATGGTACCATTGTACCATATGATACCATTGTATGACATGGCACCATTGTACCATATGGTACCATTGTACCATATGGCACAATGGTATCATATGGTTCAAAACCATAGAATTCGCCATCAGCTCCACTTCCATCAGTCTTAGAACTGTAAGTTGTGAAGAAGAGAGTCAGAATTCACCCAGAGAGTGAGTGGGGAGTGAGAGATTCCTTGCCGCCAGACACCATGAACAAAGCTACTTTGCCGGCGTTCCCAAAATGGCATGCGGGCGTCCAGATATTTTCTATAGTGTGCACACTGACCACCCAGACCCATTCTCTCACACGTAGGCCTACCAGCCTTCTCACGCTAAATTTGATGCTGCTAGAATTTTGGCGTAGATCTACGGTTTGGACCCTGAACGTAAAGCCGTAGATCTACGGGACGGACCCTTAAAGGGTTAAGTCCTTTCTAAAATTTTCTTGTATAGGTTTAGAGATGTATTTTTTCATTTATGTTAATGTTAAAATTAATTATTTTGTACTAACCTTACAAAACTTACTTAACCTTATTATAACAAGTGCAATTTAATTTAGCCTAATCCAACTAAATACATTTTAGATAAGTTTACAATAATTTAATGATAAACAAACACAAAGAAATATATTTTTTTCATTAGGTTCAGAATGACTTTTGCAAAATTATTGCATACACAAATTTTTGTTTGCCTTATATGGCAAGAAGAGTGTTGCTATTTAAGCCAGACTCTCAAGTTTTACCTATATGGCACGACACACACACACACACACACACACACACACACACACACACACACACACACACACACACACACACACACACTCACACTCACACTCACATACACGCATATAAGGTTCGACTCCTGCTGTGAATGTAG